GTGGAGATTATCGTTCATTTGCAATGATTTTGTTTTTAGTTTAACAGATGAATGAAATAGATAAGAACAAAGAACAATGTGGTTTGATCATCTGTAGAATCTTGTTCATCCAATATGCAATGTGTAATGATGATAATTCTGGGCATTGATTGATATTAAAAAGAGTAGGGGTTACTGTTTACGAATGATTTCTGGAGATTTATGAGTTTATATGTTCTAGCCTGACAGATTTTGAAATTTATGCTCATTCTTGATTTTCATCCACTAGAGCTAGCTGAATTTTCTTTTCATGGCCCAATTTCAAGCTGCAATGGATCATTGTCTTCGTTTCGATCTGCTTCTTTGCACGAAGTGCTTCTTTACTCCAACTTGACTTCCCCAATTAGAAAGTGAAGTTTGATTTTCGGATCGAGTTGCCATGTTATGTAGCTGTTCATGCACATTGTCATAACAATGGTTACTCCATTGCTTAGATTCTGTTGCTTATCATATGGTTCTTATTTCCTTAGCTGAGTGGGAGCTCTTAATTGTAGAGCATTTTTTGATGAGATTTTCTTGTGTTGAGGAAATGGCTAGAGAGAATTTCTAACAGCTCAGGCCCACTACTCGTAGATATTGTCTTCTTTAGGCTTTCCTTTTTGGGTTTCCCCTCAAGGTTTTTAAAACGCGTCCGCTAGGGAGAGGTTTCCACACCCTTATAAAGGGTGTTTCATTCTCCTCCCCAGCCGACGTGTAATCTCACGAAATTCTTCAATAAAAACTACTCCATTCTGGCATATGAACATTGAAAAGTCTTCCTGAACAGTTCTGGAGCTTATCCTTTATGACAATTCACAAGAGTACTTCTGTCAAGTTGTTTAGTATCACATTTTTTAAAACCCATTAACTTGATATTTGTAGGCCTTCTGGATAATGTTACCTTTTTTTGTTTTTGGTAGAACAAATGTGTTCAATCATGAATTTTCTTTTGCTGCTGTTTTGGAATCCAGTCTCTGAGAAAGCTGTAAGATATGACAAATGACAATCAATTCATATGACTGCCTTTCAAATTCATGGGTCTGGAAAGGGTGGGGTATTTGCTTGCTTGCTTGTTTGTTTTGTGATGAATCGTATTTGTAACGGTCGTTTGAGCAATTGACTTCATTTAAGTCAGGTTGTGTGAGATCCCACACCACACCGATTGGAGAGGGGAACGAGTGGTAGCCAGGATGCTGGGTCCCGAAAGAGAGTAGATTGTGAGATCCCACGTTGGTTGGAGAGAGGAACGAAGCATTCTTTATAAGGGTGTAGAAACCTCTCCCTAGCATACGCGTTTGAAAAACCTTGAGGGAAAGCCCAAAGAGGACACAATATCTGCTAGCGGTGGACTTGAGCTATTACAGGTATAATACGACATTGAACTATGAGATCAGGTCAGCCGTCTCCTTTGGTGCTACTATTTACTCATTTAATACATTCATACGAAAAAAGAACATTGATAGAGGAATATGGTAAGGGAAGCACACACATTCACCACAAAGTTTAGTTAAAACAGTGTGGGGGGAAAAGGTTAGTAAATAAGATAGGAATAGATTCCTGTCATCCTGTGTACAGACTTGATTACTTGTTGGTTGGAGGTAGGGAAGGGTAAGAACTATGCAGAGGTTTAGGGTCCCATTTCTGTCATATTGAGTGCTTTCAGTAAGGGATCTGCGGTGAATTGGGAGGTAAGAAACTATGGAGGTTCCCTTGCCTGTCACCAAGAACTCAGTAACATGAGAAGACTTGGGCTGAAATAAGGGTAGAATTCAGGGTTACTGATATGCTAAGCAGAGCACTGAGTCAAGAGAGAAGAACAAGAACAGGGAAACAGAAATGTTTTGTTTTTTTTTTTTGTTCCATATATGAATGTCGTACATGTTTCTCGACAACCAGATGTAGTTGGATTAGAAGATGGTATTCGTCATGCCTCATGGATGTGTAGGTACGAGTATGTTTATATGTTCGTGTGATTGTTTAGAAGAGGAAGAGAGGGAGAGGTGGAGAGAAATAGTTTTTGTGAGATTCTTTGTAATGGTGTGGAAACTCTAGCATATGTGTTTTAAAAACCTTGTGAGGAAGTTCGAAAGGGAAAGCATGAAGAGGACTATATCTGCTAGTGGTAGGCTTGAGCTGTTACAAATAGTATCAGAGTAAGACATTGGGCGATGGAAGGCTGAGCTTCAAAGGGGGTGGACACGAGGTGGTGTGCGAGCAAGGACACTAGGTCTCAAAGGAAGGTGGATTGGGAGTCCCACATCGATTGAAGAAAGGAACGAGTGTCAGCAAGGACGCTAGGCTCCAAAGCGGGGGGAGTGAATTGTGAGATCCCAGAGAGCATTCACGGCCTACAATTAAAAAAATATTAAAATGCAGGGACTAAATGGAAACATTGTAAAGGAAAAATGGGCCGTGATGTGTTAGAATATGGGCCCTTGTTTTAATAGATTGGGCCATACGTGTTTCAAACATCATTGTGTCCTTTTGTATAATTGCATGTCGCATTAATTGCATTTGGAATTTCAAATTCAATTTATTATTTAATTATCATTATTTGGGAAATTAGGGAAAATTTGTGGTTTATTTACCCTCTGTCACGTTAGCATCGACTTATTTAATAAAGTCTATGTCAAACATAATATAAAACACTATTTAGTTAAATTACAACCACGAATTTTTAATATTTTTTTTAATTCTGTCGATAATTTTTTTTAAAAAATCTTAAATATGCAAAAGGAGACAGGATATAGTTATAAAAATAATAATAAAAAAAAAACATAATAAGTCACATCAAGGTTGTTTTTCTTAGGAAAAACATAAACCAATATTCCACTTTAATGCAATCCAACCTAAAAATGTTCCATTCATACCTTAATTCCAAGTATATAAATACAAAAAATTATCATTATCGCCCTTTAAGTCACATTCACTCGCATAAAACACCACCAACTAGTAAAAGCCTAGGGGAGAATTGGAAGCTTGTTAAAGTCTTGAAGGTAGAGACTGTGTGTTGGAAATGTTATCAGGAGAAGGGAACGAAACATTGTCTATTAAGAATCACGAATCTCCACAATTGTATAATATTGTGCACTTTGAGCATAAGCTCTCAAGGTCTCGTACCAATGGAGATGTATTCCTTTGCTTATAAACTCATGATCATTCCCTAAATTAGCCAATGTGGGACTCACTCTCAACAATTCTCAACAATCTCTACGCGTTTTAAAAACATTGAAGGGAAGCCCGAAACGAAAAGTCTAAAGAGAATCATATTTACAAGCGGTGAACTTGAGCTGTCTCAGAGGGTTGGTGGCATTTTTTATTACCAAAACAAAAGGAAAAGTTTGAAGACTTTACACGTATGGAGCAATCACTTAAGATTCTGAATAACATGCTTTGCCTTATTCTCTACTTTATTTATGTATTTATTTTATAATAAAATAAATAATTGTTTATTGAAAAAGGAATTGGATAATAAAAATAATAATAATTATTTGGAAAATAGTGCACAAAAAGATGGAGCCAAGGACAGGCCAATGTGCGTACGCACGACACATGTTTTTTCTAATTTTTTTTATTTATTAATTCCTATTTTTTCATTTTATTTCCTTTACCAAAAATTATTTAATTTATCTAATAAAAATATTAGTATTAATAAATTATCATTTATTTATTTATTAGTTCATGATAAGTAGCAATATTTTAAAAAATATTACTAATTATTTTTTAGAAAATCCAATTATTTAATTTAATTTCACACCCATCTCTTTATTTATTTATTATTATTTTAGTTTATTTTATTTAATTTTAAGAACCTACAAGATTTATCTTTATCCATTATTCTCCATTCATGTCGTGATTCTTTATTTAGATAAGCTACCTTCCACTTAATTAAATTTACATTTTGACACTTACTCCCATTAGAATATAAATCAATTTTTTTAAAAAAGAATGATTTAATTACTTTAACGTGTTCGTGACGGAACGTTTGGAAAGAGTGAACTTTGTATTACTAGAAAAGAATGGTAAACGGATTTTCTACCTTTTCCACTATGTCAACGTATTTATATATATATATATATATAGGTAATTTGGGACATTCCTTAATACTATTTGTGACGAAAAATCATGCACCAAATTAAATATAATTCATGTATAAATCAAAACCGTGCACCTAATTAAATACGAACTAATGAACCTCGAAATACATGTATCTATATAAGTAATTTTGTCATTAATTCTTTAAATGTTAAGGACGTGTAAATTCAAAATACGATTTTAAAATTTTGGTCACGGTATCGGGCGTATAATTTATTGATGATATTATTTTAATTGGGTTGAATAATCTTTGGAAAAAGAGAGAGCTTGGTTGAGAGTGTATAAGTGAAAGGTTGAATGTAAGAGAAGAATGGGCCAAAAGATGAAATAATAGAAATGGATGGACGAAAATGAAAACATGTTTTTATTATGTGGGGATTTCCAATTTTCATGATGAATTTTGGAGGGCTTTTTAGCAAACAAAAAACCAATTCACCCACTATTGATGGTGTAGGACGTTTCTACATTTCACCCCCAAAATTTTCCTATTTTCCTTTTGACCCTTTTTTGAACGTTTGAGACAACCCTTGAAAAGTACGTAACTTTGAGTTTTTAACTGTTCAGAATCTTAATAGGTTAAAGTTCGAATAAATTTTAGTCCGAATATCATGAACTTTAGATCTGTAACTCTCCAAAAGCTCCTTTAAATTTGGACAAACTTTTACGTAAACGTCGAGACGAAATCTGAAAAGGGTAAAACGGGAATTAAGTAAAAATTGGTTTAAAATAATAGAAGGGATGAATAAAGATTTATTCTTTGAAGATGATTTCTACCAATTTAACTTATGAGAGATTTCCTTGCATGACTTGAATTCTATCTTCTTCTTTTTTGAGCCAAAACAATAAAACACAATCAACCTTTCCTTATTCGTTGTATCTTTTTTCTTTTTGCTTCCTATATTTATATCATAGCTCTCCCCTTCACTTCCCACATCCATCCTCTCTACAAGCAACCAAAAATGGCTACACATCAATTCCCTAAGAACTCCATGCACCTCGACCAAAACCCAGAAGCTGCCTTGGGCGGGTTTGGCAAGGACTTCGATGACGATGGTCGAGAGAAGCGAACAGGTAGTGATAGTTCTATTATTATAATTATTTGCATCTTATCTACTGAGCTATACAAACTGAAGTACATATACGTGTGGATGGAAGGAACATGGATTACTGCAAGTGCTCATATCATCACGGCGGTGATTGGGTCGGGAGTTCTATCTTTGGCATGGACGATTGCGCAGTTGGGTTGGGTGGTCGGACCAGCGGTTTTGGTGGCGTTTTCATTTATCACATATTTCACTTCCACCATGTTGGCTGATTGTTATAGAGCTCCAGACCCAGTAACTGGGAAAAGAAACTACACTTATATGGATGTTGTCAAAGCTCATTTGGGTAACACTAAAACTAAACTAAACTGAAATCTTCTGTTTTGATCTCTCCACCATTTTGTTGAGTTGGGTTATCTTGGAATGGTGCAGGAGGAACAAAGTTTAAGCTTTGTGGGTTAGCTCAATATGGTAATTTGGTTGGGATTAGCATTGGCTACACCATTACTGCCTCGATTAGCATGGTGTAAGTATACTTTAGCCTCTATGCTTATCTTAACAAACTATTGAAGTCAATCTCCTGTTTCTTTAGTATGTATTAAAAGCTTTGTTCGGTTTTGTTGTCAAGTATTAAATTCCCCTTGTCTTTTGTCCGTGTTTAATAGGTTTTTAAAGTTTTAAAAAGCGTTTAAAATATTCTTAAACACGGGTAACTTAAATTCACAACCTAACAGTTCGTAGACCAACCCGAGATGTAAATTAGGATGATTTAAAATGCCAAGTTAACAATGATTTTGTGACAAATGAAATGAAATCAGAGCGGTGAAGAAATCAAACTGCTACCACAAGAATGGGCATCAGGCAGACTGCACCGTGTCTGGTGTTCCATACATGCTACTATTTTCGGCCATGCAAGTTTTGCTCAGCCAAATTCCCAACTTCCACAAGCTCTCATGGCTCTCTATTCTTGCCGCCATCATGTCGTTTGCTTACGCTAGCATCGGTGTCGGCCTGTCCATCGCAAAAGTCGCAAGTATACATACCGAAACACATAAAGATATAAGATTGAAACATAGTTTTTATGGTACAAAATTATGAGTCACATTTTTGTGTGTTGAAGGTGGTGAGAATGGACAAACAGGCTTGACAGGGATTGATGTCTCAGGACAGGAGAAAGTATTCAGGGCCTTCCGAGCTATTGGGGATATTGCCTTTGCTTATGCCTACTCTACCGTCCTCGTTGAAATACAGGTAATTTCTTTCTTTCTCTCCTATCTACCACTAGAGTTGAAACTTCAACAACAATGTAAGTGAAGGAATTTCAATAAAAAAAAAAAAAGGCAGATTCTAGTTGTGAGTGGGAAGAAAATAAGAGGTGGGTATGAAAATGAAAGGAAAGAAGCGTGGGGGGGAAGGTTGAAAAATGAATGAAGAACATGTAAGAGACATAGAAGTGTGGCTAAACAATAACAGTATAAAAATCTTCAACAGTAAGGGGAGCCATTATATGAGAGGCAACGTCAAAGAGTTGTTCTATTATGGTACGGGGTCCAGTTTCGGAACGACACTGACTTGACATCTTGCTTGCTTTCTTCTTTGTTATTTACTTTATAGAATACTCACATTCACATTCACATTTAAAGTAAACTATGGCATATTTAACCATAAACTTTGAAAATTTAGAGATCTAGTAGATACAAAGAAGAAAAGAGTACGTACCAATTATCATTGAACTCTGTTTTTCGTTTCGTTTGGATAAGAATGATTGTGGTTGAAAATTCGGCTCGGATTTGGATTCTATGGACCATAGAAATTGCGTGGACCACATCCACTGTACTGTAAAGGCGGTCCCAATCTTCAGCACCCAGAAAAATGGCATCTTCATTTCTTTCTGGGTTTGGGTGCAGATTCATTACATCACCATCACAGAGTTTCGAATGGATTTGAGACGACGGTCCAACAAACTTCTTCCTGTGGACCCCTTTAAAACCAATCATACAATAAATTACATTTAAAATCTCCAGTTTTTTCATCTTTACTGCTGAAAACAGATGTGTTACCATTTTGATGATGTTCCAACTCTTGTCGCTTGCATCACTCCCCCGGCCAAGGTTTGGCCCAGCATGTCCCTGTTCCTAACATGTTGAAAGCTCACATTCATACGTATTATTCTGCTCAAGATAATGTAGCAACAAATCCAAAACTAGCAATGAACTCACAGCTCAATGACTTACCCATGAATTTACAGGACACATTGAGATCAAGCCCACCAGAAAACAAAGCAATGAAGAGGGCAACTTTTGTCGGCATCTCAACCACCAGTCTTTTCTACATACTCTGTGGTTGTGTTGGTTATGCAGCATTCGGAAACAATGCACCAGGAAATTTCCTTACTGGCTTCGGATTCTACGAGCCCTTTTGGCTCATTGACTTCGCCAATATCTGCATTGCTGTTCACCTAGTTGGTGCTTACCAGGTGAAATCAATTGATCAGTTCCCAACTCCTACATGAACGACATTTGCGAAACTTAATCTTTTAGTACTCCATCAGTTTATGTTCTAAGTTTTGTACATGAATACTATAACCTGCAGGTATTCTGCCAGCCCGTGTATGGGTTCGTGGAAAAATGGTGCAACACAAGGTGGCCAGAAAGCAAATTCATAACAACAGAGCACATCATCAAGTTACCTTTTAATGGAGAGTATCCGCTCAGCTACTTCAGATTGATTTGGAGGACAGCATATGTCATAGTGACGACTGTGATAGCTATGATATTCCCATTCTTCAATGCTTTCCTTGCTTTGCTTGGGGCTACTTCATTTTGGCCATTGACAGTTTACTTTCCGGTCGAGATGTACATAGCAAGGACTAAATTGCCCAGATTCTCTTTCACCTGGATCTGGCTGAAGATATTGAGCTGGGCCTGCTTGGTCATTTCACTAATGGCTGCTGCTGGATCAATTCAATCCCTGGCACATGAAGTGAAGAAATACAAGCCCTTCCAAGTTGAGATTTGATTAGTAGCAAAGTCCAGTAATCTTATAAACGTCACCAACCAGCATTGTCTCAAAGTGAATTTGAATTTACAACTACTCCTAAATTTTCAACAACCCTATTGGACGGCCTCTACATTATGACGATAAGTTTTAGTAGGGGAAAAGGAAAAGGAACAATGCAATTTATCAATGAAAATAAATATCTTTCTGCAACTGCTATTCTGCCCCTAAGTACAATATATGCTTACAAGTTTCACAAAAACATGATCATCGTTAGGCTGTGTTTACATATTGAGGGGGAAAATGTCACAAGAGCTCCAAGTGTGTCAAATTTTCCAGATTATGGCAAAACTAACTGCCCCTAAGGCGTATCAGCAGTTAATACTCGTCTGTGCAACATCCTTTCTCCAAAACAATCGGCTCAGAGATAAGAAAGTGGTCATCGTCTATACCTACGATCAGAAATAAATTCCGACTAAGACCAGTGGAAACCAGTACACTGCCCTCCTGTTAAACAATATTTAAATAGCCAAATTGGGCAAACCATATGATTACCAAAGAATACAAATCAACTAGACTCGGTCTCACTGATAACAAAAGCTTGAATACGACTCTGGGCAGCATGAGTCTGCTCAGGCGTTCCAGAAATGATAACTAGAGTTTCAACTGCTCCTTGCTTTGGTTCGGAAATCGTAATTTTTGCATCAGAAATCTACAAGAAAGATGGGTCCTGTGAGATAGCTGTGACTATTGCTACATTTCAGTACATTACTAATCGGAGGTCTTCTTTCATAAATTTCATTTTAACAATGAAAAGCTGCCTTCATATTAAAGTTAGATTACTAATTAGAACTTCATTTTTAAATGACTGCAAATATTCCACCGTGATCTCTATATCAGAATCTGTAAGACATTATTATCCCATACATAAAGACTTTTAGAAAAGGGAACTAAAGCATGCATGACATGCACCCGTGAACGAATAGGCTCACTTCAAAGATCTAAAAGTACTAAAAAGAAAACAAATATTGAGATCGAGCACAACGCTTCAAGTGAGACAATTACTTATTATGCAAACTAGCTTATGGCATCTATATGATGGCATGACGTATGGGAAGGTTTCTTGTTTACCCAGTTCTGTTCCTTGCTGTCTGGCACAGTCTTTATAATCCTGGCCTGAACTCGAAAAACAGCATCTTGCACAGGCGACATTCTGTCTTCTGGATGCTTCAAAGATGAATTGGTCTCAGAAGTTAAAGAAAAATAATCTAGTAACAATCTATAAATGAAAATTTAATAAAGGGCCAATATGGAAAATCTCATCATTTGAATACTCAATGAATTATTACCCTACCGCAGGACCAGCTACAAGTATAATACGGTCATCAGAGTCCAAGGCACCTTCAACAACTTTGATGTCACAGCTTGTCTCTTGCTGAAGAGTCTTAACTATTGCTCCTCCTTTTCCAATTATATTTCCAACTCTCTCAGATGGGCATAATAAACGAAAACTTAAAATTTCATGAGAAGGTTGGATTCGACAAGGAATGCTGGTTTCATACTGTTTAGGAGCAAGAGAAGGAACACTGGAACAAAAATTGCCAACAACACGCGGCACAGAGTAAGGGCCTCCATGAGTATTAAAAGAACTACTACCCAAATGATATTCATGAGCCCTAGAACGAGACTGTTCAGAAGAATGTGATGATTGTGCAGTCATGCTTGAGGCGACGGTATCTTTATCATGGGGAGAATTATCCATTAGCTGCTGAAAAACAAGTTCAAGGGCCTTCTTCACCACATCAACTCCTCCACTAATCTGCATCCATATCATCAAAATAAAAGTGTGAATAAAAATCGAACATTAGAAACTCAACATATCGCCCTGACACAAAACTATGGGCCTTATGGCTAAAATAACTCAAGGCATGCCACCTCCACAAACCATAGGAGACAGATGTGCAAAACTTCAACAGTTGGGACCAGCAGTCGGGCAATAGTAATATATTATAAAATGCTTTGATTCTTTTTCCTTTTTGGTTCATCATTTTCTTGTTTCATGCTGGGAACATGTATAAGGGATAACATTTACAAGCAGTAGAACATATACTTTAAACAAAACATCTCATGGAATCCAGTGACTGTTCACTAATGATGAGTTGCTACTGCCAATTTCAATGATCAAAAATATATAATCAAGTTAAGGAAAATACTTATGTCGTAATTATACCAATGAAGAAACTAGTAGGAACAAGACATTAGCAGAAGTTCGTCCCTGGGAAGAATTGTGATACACACACTAATCGTGGTCCCCAGAATTACCTGGACTAACTCATCACTGGATGCTGCACAGGTAGGAAGTTTATCCCTGGGAAGAATTCTAATTTGCGCTCCACTATCAGATGACATTTGTTTGGCTACACTGCCAGCCTTTCCCAATAAGCACCCAGCTTGACTAGAAAGAACAAGCAATCTTAAGAATTATGTAGACAGCTTATCACCTTCAGCATCTGTTTTCTGCCACCGCTTCTTCGTCGAAGAACTTCTCAGATACAAGAAAGAGGGCCTTCCACAATTGCAAATGTGGAACTTCCTTCTGTTTAGCATCTTCCGAAGGAGGAGAATCTTTGTCTTCTTTCTTTTTACACTCAGCAATATCATCACCGTTCTCCTCGACTTCAGAATTTTTCTTGTCTTCCTTAATATTCTGCTCAGGGTTCACTTCAGTTTCTTGATTAGGGCCTCCAATTACTACTATTCTCTCATCACTTCCATGTACAGTTTCCTCTACTCTGATTTCTACACCTGTTTCTTCACGAATTTGAGATAAAACATCCCCATCTCCACCTATTAGGCTGCCAATTCTTGAAACAGGAAAGAGGACACGAAAGACAGCATAACCAGGAGAGAGTTTGAAGGATTGGTTTTGTGAACGAGAACCACCTAATGGCTTGTGCCACTTTCCTTTCCCATTCGGCTCGACAAAGCTCCGATCACGTGATCTCTTTGAAGGGAGTCAATGGAGCAGACATTCCTGCTAATAACACGGAACAAGGGTTCCAAATTAATAAGCCAACAACAAAGATAACTAAACCTCAGAAGCATCCTGTACTAGAAAACCAGCAAGTACACTGACCCAAATTGCATCTACAAAACACATTCGTCCGAATGAAAAACACAAAAGAGACAAAAAAAAGAACCCAGCGCCAAGAAGCTAAGGGAATGCACACATACTGAAAATATCCATTTCCTTGCATCATAACAAATTACAAACGCAAGAGTTTGGCAAATGATCGAGTATTAAATTTTGAATGGCTAAATGAAGTAAGTATGGAGACCATTAAAGCTTAAACTGTGGAGACCGACCCGGCTTAGACAAGATAATGAAAAGCTTAAAGAAGAGTATAATATCCGCTACTAAAAAAACTTACAGTAGCAGGGGGGTATTCAGTGATTCCAGGTCGAAGAAAACGGCCTTCAATGGAAATTCCGGTGGGAAATGCCGTCCAGTTATTGAGCTCCGAGCAGTGCAAAAGGAGTTGGAGAAATGACCGAAATCCCTTGCACTTGAAATTCCAGAAGAGAAAGCGAGAGGTCATCGGCGTTTTGCATAATTTCTCCGGTTTCTGGAAATCTGAGTCGGGTCGGGTTTACTATATACGGTCCCGACTTGGCCAGATGATGCCATTCGACCCGATTAGATGTAATCGGGTGGGGGTTAAGAAGTGAAGATTAATAATAAGTTAGGTGGAGTTAATTAGTAGATTTAATATGTTGATGTTTGTGGTATGAGTTCTAAAGTCTGTGTTTTGAGTGGTGAGTTGTCTAGAATTCTGAAGTCTTAATTTAATTATACTCGATTTTATTTGGTATAAAAGAAAGTATTTTGTTGTTTGAGGCTATAAAAATTGAGAAAAGGTTGAAAGAGAAAATTAATTTGTAAAAAATCTGTTCATCAAATGTTCTTGATCTCACAACAAATGAGTTGAATTCCACAAAGAAAAAAAGATGATCAAATCTTGCTAAATGCGTTTTCTCCGATATCAATAAATTATTTTTGCATTTGTTATCGTTTTCAAATATCTCGCATCAAATCTTATGGTTATCTTCATTCAACCTCAGAATCAAAAGCATTAGTCGAACTGAATCATCAAAACGAACTCGCATCAGCAATAACCAACCTAATTGATGTAATTGGATAAAATTCATGGAATTATTCCTTGAGTTCTTGTGGATTGAAGATCGGTAGAATTAGAGAGACGGAAAATCTAAAACATTAGGTTGTTTTGTACTGAAAGGTCTAGGGTTCTACTCCGTGCAACAAACAGACAGATTACGTGCAACAGCCAATTCTTGATTCGACAAATTAATCGAGATGCATTTCATTAGTAGAAACAATTCCAGATAGCGGATTGACTAAACAGAGACGGCTGAGCCGCACAATTCCGAAACAAAAGTCTAATTAAAACGTCGATGATACAGATAATACAGGAAAAGAACAGAGAAAGAGTTACTAGTGTTACTCGCTAGTAGACAGTGCTTGTTCCGATGAAGCAATCGAAGAGGCTACCTCCACATTGCCATCGCCAGAGACTGGTGAAACAAAAGTCCAGTCCGGTGGAAGAGGCGGCAGAGGTGGATACACAGTCGGCTTGCGCCGAATGTCCCATGGCTGAGACTTCCGTGGCCTCGTTTTCATGTGATGTGCAGTCGCCTTCTTGTTTGGCCTCGACGAGCATTCAATCACCAAACTCCCGCCGGAACATGGAGCAGCATTTCTTGCAGATGGATTCACCAATGGCGGAACCGAAATCCTACAGCCGAAAAAGGTCGAAATCGACATGGCTCCTAACAGAGCGTGAGAAAGACAATGGAGACCTATCAATTGGGATTGGATTCGTTATCTTCGTTTTCTTCACGTTATAAAATATTATGAAAATCGTCCCATTTTATTGGGCCATTCCTCATATCATATTTCGGCCCATGGGCTTTGTGCTATTAAATTATAAATTTCGTTTCATTTTTTAATTTTTCAAATATTTTTTAGACTCAACCCAATTATTCCGATTATAAATTCTTTTAACACAAACTAATCATAATTTTTTTAAATTGTACTAGTTCGAGTCATTTATTCAAACTTATTTATTGTTAATAAAAATAAAATATTTTATTTATTTATTTATTTCAAATAAATAATCTAAATTAGATTTCAA